TTTTTTTTTTGAGGCTCGTTCATGGGGGGCAGTACGGATTCCCACAGCTGTCTTTTGTGCAACACTCAGAGAACAGGGCGCCAAGCTCCATCAGCTAATTCTTGGACCGAGGACATGTGACGGGGGCTTTGAGTAGGCAGTGACTTCCGACAGAGGAACGACAAGGCGCTCGGTGTCACAAACATAGCGAGGGCATTGAGGGCCATCTGAGTGATGAGATTGGGGACACAAAGAGTGGGGCCCCAGTAGCCGGGGGCAGTGAGGACACAATGTGAGGGGGCAGTAGGGTCTCAATGAGCGGGGTAAGTGAGGACTCAGTGAACGGGGGCAGAGGGGGATCAGTGAGCTGGGGCAGTGAGGAACAGTGAGTAGGGGCAGTGGGGGCTCAGTGAGCGGGGGCAGTGAGGACACAGTGAGCGGGGGCAGTGGGGCAGTGGGGACACAGTGAGGTGGGGCAGTGGGGGCTCAGTGAGCGGGGGCAGTGGGGACACAGCTGGGGGCAGTGAGGACACAGTGAGTGGGGGCGGGGGGACACAGTGAGCTGGGGCAGTGGGGGCTCAGTGAGCGGGGACAGTGGGGACACAGTGGGGGCAGTGGGGGCTCAGTGAGCTGGGGCAGTGAGGACACAATGAGCGGGGGCAGTGGGGACACAGTGAGCTGGGGCAGTGGAGACACAGTGAGGACACAGTGAGCTGGGGCAGTGGGGCAGTGGGGACACAGTGAGCTGGGGCAGTGGGGCTACAGCAGGCTGTGCTCTGACAGCTGGGGAGCCGCTGTGGGGTGGACGCGGACACGGGAGTCTGAGGCATTGATCCCCTCCCCCACACTTTGCTTTGTGCCTGTGGCTGCTCCCCCAGGGTAAGTCTGGGCACTTAGGCTGTCCAGGGTGGCGCCCAGCTCCGAGCTGCACCCCCAGGGAAGGAGCTTCCGCCCAGAGGCTCTGTTATCTGGTTTCCCTGCTCCGTGGGAGCCTCCTGAGGGCGCTGACAGCTGTGACTGTGCCCAGGGCTCGCTCGGAGGCAGGCATGGACTCATCAAGAGGCCTCGGATGAAGACGAAGTGCAGATCAGTCTTGCTGCCAGGGAGACGTGGTTTCACCCTCCACCTTCAGTCCTGATGCTGCCTTTGCCCCAGGCCCGCGTGCCCCCCGTGTGCCCCCCGGTGGGTGGCTGCCAGAGCAGCATGCGTGGCACCTGGGTGCCGCTGCGGGGCTGGCGCTCACCAGGGCAGCGTGCTCAGAGCTCCGCTGCTTCCTGCTCTCACAGGGGCCTCAGTTTCCCCTGGAAGAGAGCCCTCTTCTGGCCCAGGAGGGCCCACCCCACACAGGCCTCGGAAGGCGCAGGTGTCAGCACCAGTCTAGGAAAATGGCACATCACTCCCTAGGGCCACTCATGACCTCACCTGCTATACCCACTGCTGCCGGGGGCTCCTGTGCCCAAACCTCGGAGCATCCAGCCCCCCTGGGAGCTGAGGAAAGGAGCTGAGCCCAGGCCAGAAAGGCACAGATGCCGACACAGGGCAGCCCAGCGCTAGGCTCTTGTTTCTGTGGATTTTCTCAGGATGGGGTGGACGTCTGGGTAGCATGGGGGTGGGGATAAGCTTCAGTTCATCAAGACATGTGAAGCCGGCCTGTCTCAGGGCCTCAGGCCACCTCCGTGTAGTGAGGGTCTAAGGTGGCAGGGACCCCAGGGCCCGGGGTAGAGCCTGTGTTCCCAGGCCCAGCCCCTCTGGTGCTGCATTCTGGGCTTGCCCCAGACCTGCTCAGCTGGGAGGTGCCTCGTCCACCTGTACCCTCAGGAACCTGGGAGGGGGTTGGCACAGGTGTGCCCCTCCCCCTGATGAATGCCAAGAGGGCACCAGCCTGCCTGGTGGCCACGAAGCCACCACGTCACCCCAGGGCCTGGCGTGGCGGCAGGATCCCTCTGTCTGCAGAATGAAACGCACTGGGGCACGGCTCTAGAGCGTGAGAAGCGTAACTCAACACGATGGAGTCGTATGGCCTGGGGCAATCTGGGGTGGGTCCTGCCCAAAACTGTGCTTTCCTCTCCCCCAGGAACACGGGTCCAGTGGCATTGCTGCTGGTCCCTTTGCACTGCCCCGATGGGCCCACCCCCCAGCTGAGGTTCCCTGTCATTCACTGAGCGCTCACTTGGTGGTGGGGCTGGGCTTGGGGTGATATCTTTCTTTTTTAAAATTTATTTACTTAAAAGAGTGACAGAGCAAGAGAGACAGATCTTTCAACTACTGGGTCACTCCTCAGAGAGCCACAATGATCAAGGCTGGCCCAAACCAGACCGAAGCCAGGAGCCTGGAACTCCTTCCTGGTCTCCCACTCCCACATGGGTGGCAGGGGCCTGAGAACTTGGGCCATCATCTGCTGCTTTCCCAGGCACATTGGCAGGGAGCTGGATTGGAAGTGGAACAGCTGGGACTTGAACCGACACCTGATGTGGGATGCTGGCACTACAAACAGTGGCTCAGTCCACTGTGCCAGGACACCAGCCCTGGGGGTTCTCAGAGGCCCAGCCCATCCTGGAGGGAAGGATCAGTGCTGTGGCATCCCCCACACCGTGCCCAGATGCCAGGACAGATTTTCCCTTCCTGGGCTGTAGCCGTCTCCTGCCGTGAGTGACAGACAGGTGCTCGGGGCACCATAATGAGGTGTCAGTAGGCTGTGGCTGTTGACTTAGCAGGATCATCTGTAATCAGAGCCTTCCCTCCCACGTCGGCTGCCACCAGGACAAACGAACAGAGCCGCTCCTGACACAGCTGCTAACTGCGATGCTGTATGCTAATTTTGCAAATTATTATTTTTAATATAATCAGGTTTTTCCTTAGGCAGTAAAGGAAAAAGTTAAATTGCTCACAAACTAATAAAGGTTTATCTTCTGAAGCATCGAATTCTGTTTACTCCTGAAACACACACCTCCTGTGTTCACCCACGGGGAGGAAAATTAGCATTTATTTTCCCTGGTAAACAAAAACCAGTGGAATATTTGTCGATGCTTCTTGGTGTTCAGCCCTTCCTGGCATCAATGATACAGAGGAAGGTGAGACGCTCGGAGGAGGCCTTCCCCTTCTCCGGGGCTTCATTTTGCTGTGGGAAAGCTGCTGCCGTGTGGATGGGCTTTGTGGCCCCCAGAGATTGGCCTTGTATGAGAAGACAACCCCACGGCAGCCCTGGAACCAGGAAAACAGAGGAAGGAAATGCCTGCCCCCCCACCCCCCAGGGGAGGACTTTACCTAAGCTGCAGCCATGGGAACAGGAAGGTCCCTGAGGGTCCCCACCCAGGGCCCTGTGCATCCCTCCTCCTTCCACCCCTTTTCTGGGAGAAGTCAGCGCTTTCACGCCCCCTTCATTGGCCCCAGCGACGGAAACCTTGGGTTGCACTGACTGTTATCCACGTCTGCTTTTCCCACGCTCTAGAGAGTGACTCAGCGATTTTCCTTCCCTGCTTTCCAGGTATGGAGACATGAGGCGGCAGATCGGCTTTGAGATCAGAGACATGTGGTACAACCTTGGTGAGTGGCTGGGTACCTGGGCGGTCCCTGGTGGGTCATGGCCCTGGCCCTGTCCGCCAGTGCTGGGACATCTTTAAAGTCTGAGTGGCCTCTGTTTTCAGTAAGAGATGGAAGACCAAAGGAGAGGGAAGAAAAGCTGATTGGTGCAACAGAGCGGTCGGTGGAGCGCCCCCTTGTGGCTTACTGGCGCCTCTCGGTTTCTCTTGCATCAAACCATGGCGCTCATCCTGCTGCCACGTCCTGTGTTCAGACCACAGAACCCAGCTTCTCAAGGGTTTATTTACCGACTCACAGCTTGATCCTGTACTTAATTACTAGACAAACTGCCACCTGGGGCGGGGCACATAATGAGCTCCTGCACTCACGGCAGTAAGGGACATGCACATTTAAGATATGAAATCGGTGTCATTTTGTTTGTAAATAAAATAATTAGTACAGTTCACCTGTCCATTCTCATCAGTAACAGCAAAGAATTGTCTATTGAAATTTTAACCAATACAACATAGAATTCTTTTTTTTTTTTTTTTTTTTTTTTTTTTTTGACAGGCAGAGTGGACAGTGAGAGAGAGAGACAGAGAGAGAAAGGTCTTCCTTTGCCGTTGGTTCACCCTCCAATGGCCGCCGCTGCAGCCGGCGCACCGCGCTGATCCTGGCAGGAGCCAGGAGCCAGGTGCTTTTCCTGGTCTCCCATGGGGTGCAGGGCCCAAGCACCTGGGCCATCCTCCACTGCACTCCCTGGCCATAGCAGAGAGCTGGCCTGGAAGAGGGGCAACCGGGACAGAATCCGGCGCCCCAACCGGGACTAGAACCCGGTGTGCCGGCGCCGCAAGGTGGAGGATTAGCCTATTGAGCCACGGCGCCGGCTCTTTTTTTAAGATTTATGAGAGGCAGAGTTAACAGACAGGGAGAGACAGAGAGAGAGGCCTTTCATTTGCTGGTTCACTCCCCAAGTGGCCACAACAGCCGGCGCTGGGAAGCCAGGAGCTTCTTCTGGGTCTCTCATGTGGGTACAAGGGCCCAAGCACTCGGGCCGTCTTCTGCTGCTTTCCCAGGCCATCAGCAGGGAGCTGGATTGGAAGTGGAGCAGCCGGGACTTAAACCAGCGCCTGTATGGGATACCAGCACTTCAGGCATAGGTTTAGCTTACTACACCAGTGCACCAGCCTAGCACATAGTTCTTTCAGATGAGCTCCTTAAAGAGAGGGCCGATGATGATTTGGTGTCTGCTCGCCGTCTGTAGTGTGCCCCCCGTGAAGCGGGCCCCTCCTAAGTTGAGAAAAAGCTCTTGCTACACTCACAGCTCTGGGCCTTGCTTTGTGCAGACGGGTCCCAGGCTTCTGCTTACCGTGCAGTGGACACTTGGTGGCCTCGCCCAGCTCCTGAGCTGGGCTGTAGGTGCCCTGCCTGCAGGTGCCCTGCCTGCCTCTGGATGGCCAGGGCTCTGCTTCGGTCCTCAGAGCACCAGAAGCCCACGCGGCCTGGAATGAGAAGGCCCAGCTGTGCCTCTGAGACCGGTCTCTACTGGAAGGCAGGGGTGCGTCCGGCCACTTCACTCTCTCATCTCCCTGTTGCTCGAGAGTGCCACTAGTTCCACCAGGGCGGGGACCACATAGCCGCACCCCAGCCTGCGTCCTTCTTAAGTGGCCGCTTGCTGCCTGCCTTCAGGAAATTGCAAAAAAGATGCAGAACAGAGCGATGGGGTCAAAGCAGAATGGACTTGGATGCAGGCGGGCAGCTGGACCTCATCACCCCTGAACACCCCCGGAGCAGACAGGAGTGGGGTTCGAGGGCCTCACCTTTGATGTGGTCAGCAGGTACCTGGTGACCTCTTCCTGCCTTCGAGGGGGGGGACTGCTTGTCCCTCCCGAGGTCCCTGGTGTGTGACGGAGGCCCCTAGGAGTATTTCAGGTCTCTGTATTTCTGCTGAGTTAAGGATGGAGTCTTCCATGCGCATCCTTGCCCAGGAAAGGAAAGACAGAGGACCTGGGGAAGCAAACCCACAGGACCCTCGTGGACAGTGCTAAACACAGGAATGGAGAAGTCTGGGTGCTCACGGGTCCCCGGTTAGGGTCTGGGGGATACAAGCCCAGTGCAGAGGCCCCAGGCGGAGGGCACGTTGGTCGCAGTGGCTCTGTCTTTGCCTTCTCAGTACAGCCTGCCCTGCACACGCTCCGTGGGTGTCAGGACTGGAGTCGGCTCAGCAGCCCTCCAGGAAATGGCCAGGGCTTCGCTGGTGACTTGGCTGTGACAGCCACAGGGCTCAGAGTCCAGGTGCTGGCTCTCGGCCATCAGAGGCCCTGCGGAGCTCACAGCCAGGAGCCTGGTGGGCCCCGTCCTGTCCTCTGCCTTGCCAGCATGCCTCACCCCTGGGGGGAGGGGAGCTGCTGATTCCACTGGGAGCTTCCCTCCTACCGTGCCGGCTGTGCAGCCTCAACCTGTGTCTCGGGGGTCCTGGGCTCCCGTTCTGCAGATGAGGAGGGGGCTGTGTTGTCGAGATCCTTACAGTGCTGAGGCCCAGTGATCTGGTGACATTAAGATCCAGTGATGTCAGCAGCAAAATGTTAAAGTTTGCAGAACAGGAAGGTTCGTTGTAATTAATCGCTCTGTGTTCCTTCTTAAAACTGTGCTCCGAGGGATGCATTTGTCCTTCGCCCTGGCAGTCCAGATGGTGGGCCTCAGGCCAGGCAGGGACCGCGTGTCGCTGCAGCAGAGAGGGAAGCAAGAGAAGTGGAAGGGACGTGCAGGGGGAGGGCGTGGAGGGCGCCGTGGTTCCGTGCTGGACCTTGGAGAACCCAGAGCCTTGGAAGAGGTGACGTGACCCCTTGCCCACCCCGCTCTGGCCAGCCAGGCTATCAGCGTAGACTCACAGGCCCTCGGAGAGCAGCCTCTGTCTGGGGCCATGCTCCTTGGTCCTTCCTAAAATAGAGTGACCACCTTCTTGTGGGCTGGTCAGCATCCTCTCTCCAGGACACTCTGCGAAGTCACGTAAATGCTTTCTCATGAAGATCCTTCTTAGGACCAGGCTCGATCAGGATTCGCACATCATGTAGGGGAACTAGCGACACCCCCAGCCCAGGTCCCGGGGGCGGGTACATGAGAAATGCCTCCTTCTTGATGGACAGCTGCTGCCACCTGCACAGCTGGCCTGGGCCCTGGAGCCCTCAGCTCCTGTGGTGGTGCCACGTGACAGGGTCCCTGCCAGGCATAGAAAGAGTGTCCACACCCAACCCTGGCTGCCGCCGGCCGGGGTTGTCCTGGTGGAGGGTGCTCTGGCCTTTCCAGTTTGGGGTGAATTGTCTGATTTTAAGCATTTTTACTGTCACATCTGGAGCCCCAGAGACGGGCCAGCGTTGAAACTGGTTCTGTTACCTTTCGTGCCTGTTTGCCACCAGTGCAGTGAAGGAAGCGGGGATGGGTCCTGCCTGAGTCTCTGCACAGTTCCTCTTCCAGGACCATGGGGAGGTCCTGCCTCCTGAGGGGCCACGCTGGTCTCTCTCTGATTTTCTGTGGAATTTTAATTAATGCATTTAAGAGCCACCATCAGAGAGGACTCCCATCCGCAGGCTCACTCTCCCCAGATCTCTGGGGGATGAGCAAAGCCAGAATGCGAGAACTCAGTCTGGGTCTCCCACATGGGTGGCAGGAACCCAGCTACTGGAGCAGCCACCGCTGCCCCCCAGGGCCTGCGTGGTGGGAAGCTGAGCTGAGTCAGGAGCTGCATCCCCGCATCAAACCCAGGTTCTCCCGCTTGGGACACAGCATCGTAACCTGGGGCTAACCGCCAGGCCAAACGCCTGCCCGACTCAGGGTTTAGAAGCCCATTCAGTGAGGTGATTGTGTTGACCTTGTCTGTCTTTATGCCCCCCAGAGGCTGGTGAGTGCTGGGCACTTTAGATTTGGGGTATGGTTAAGAGAGCAGATTTCCCCCATTCCGTCCTGTCCCTGGCTGCCCTGAGTCTGTGGTTAACACACAGGATGTGTGTTCTGCAGCTTTTCAGCCGTGAACTTGCCTCTGGCACGAGACTTACACCGTGACCTTCTCCCCAACGATCGCTCTTCCTTTATCTCAGAAAGGAAGGAAAATCGCATGGCCTACACTGCAGGCGCATGGTCTACACTGCAGGCGTCACCTTGGTCCTCCTTGATTCCAAACTCAGGTTCATCATGAAATGTGAGCACCGTGTGCCCCAGGGGAATGCAGCTGTTGAAACAAACAAAAAAAAGTGACTGCCTGAGAGCCAGGCCACCACCCTTGCTCCCCTCGGGGCTGTGGTGAAGTTCAGTCCCCAGCGGTCCCACTGCCCATGGGCCTCAGCTGTACTCCAGGGCGTCCTCCCCTCCTGTGGTAACTTACTTTTCCTATCCCCACTTGCACAACCACTTGTGTGTCCCTCCCAGCTTGGGGTAATGAAAAGTGTTGGTGACGGAACTTTGTGACACTGGAATTGTGGCTGATGAGCAGTGCGCCGGCACCCTCTGTCCTCTGAAACCTCGGCGCTGACATTTTTCAGGCATAATACGGGGAAGTCTCAGCTGAGGCCTCCGTATGACAGCGTTTTCTGGAGGGTGCTTTGTAGAAGTTACATGCCTTCCGGAAACATTAAGCACTTGGGGAAGTGAGGAGAATCACATGGTTGTAGCCGTAGTTAAAGTATTAATTATTTAGGAAAATAATAAAGTTTTAATTGTATTCAAATCCATTATTGAAGGTGTTGTTTTGAGTGTGTGTGTCCACCCGAAAACTTTAGACCAATTATTAAATTATGTATTTCCTTAAGTATAGTTATTTGTAATAACCAAATGAGTGCAGTCTCTCTATAGAAATCTGTATTGGCTGAGTTGTTAAGAAAACTAAATTCTCTTGAATATCGTGGAGTTCCTGACCATGTCAGAAATATTAGTAAATATTTACAGAATAAATCGCCGACGTTAACACGGTGTCACGCGTAACGCACCCGAGTGTTTAGTTTCTTCTGGGCTCCCCGTTAAGTGCTGGAAACGAAGCGATGCTGACGTGTGGTGAAAAGAACAGAACCCAGAAAAGCCTTGCCGGCGGCTGCTCTGCACGGTCCCCGTCCCCTTCCTGTGAGCGCACAGCGTCCCTGGGTGACAGGTGGCTGCTGTTGCTTCTCCCACCACCTTCTGCTCACTTCAAGCTCTTTGTGAGCTCACCCGTGTCCCCCTGGGGCTCAGGAATTTAGCAGCTAGAAGCTATAGCGTGGGGCACCGTGGCAGCAAAAACCCACCCGAGCAGGAGGGAGAGGCCCTCTCCTGGCTCAGGCCCAGTGCTGGAGTCTCTGCTGGGCCCGTGGGTTTCCCCCAGGGACGCTGAGTTAGCGTCTGAGTCAAAGACAAGGCCCAGAGGAGTAGGAGAGCAAGATCTCCAAGAAAACAACTGAACTAGAAATGTGTGCAGGCAGCCGGTCTGTTTTTATTTTAGAATTGTTGCATGCCAGTGGTGCGTTTCCGGTACAGAGAAGTGGGCAGAGTCTGAATGCCATGCAGAGGTCCTGTGACAGGAACCCAGGACCTGGGTTCAAATCCTGTCCCCGCATCTCCAGTGGTTGGCCCATTCAGCAGCCTTGGGAGTAGCCCAGCGTCCCCATCCATGACACGGGTTAAGGCGCCTGTCTCCCTAGGCTGTGAGGGCACCGTGTGATGATGTTGCTGCCGGCTGTGCTACATAGCCAGTGCTTAGTGAATGTTTGCTCTGTTTTAATATTCGTTAGTAGTCACCATGGCAATACTGTTTTTTTAAAAAAAATAACATGAAGGTTTACTGAATTTTAAATCCTATCTGGACAAGATACATGAGACAAGATTAATAAATCCGTTCCTCTAATAAACATTTTCATCTCCAATAATTGCCGGGGAAGGTAGCTGTTCACACTCTGCGGCCGCTGCTTTGTTTTGCTTCGTGTGTCGTCGTTGGGGTGTTCCAGACCTCACTGCGCATTATCTACGTGGGGCCCAGTGGTGGGCGCCTCTTTGTGAAATGTTGCAACCAGAAGGGACCCAAGTGACCATCTGCCCGACCCCCTTGACGGGTCCCTGTTTCCAGCAGGGCCCCAGTCAACATCCCAGCCCTCTGTATTGTTTGGTCCACCTGCGTCCTTTTGGGATCCCTTCATAACTCTTGAATAATACGTGTCTTTATTCCAAGGTCAGCACAAGATAAAGTTCATTCCCGAAATGGTCGGCCCCATCCTGGAAATGACCTTGATCCCCGAGACGGAGCTGCGCAGAGCCACCATCCCCATCTTCTTTGACATGATGCAGTGCGAGTTCCACTCCACGCGGAGCTTCCAAGTGGTGAGAGAGCCCGGGGTGGGGGACGAGCCCCGGGGGGGGGGGGGGGGGGGACGAGCCCGCCCCCAGGAGAGCCCCGGGAGGCTGGGGGGGGGGGCGAGCCCGCCCCCAGGAGAGCCCCGGGCAGGCCTGGCGCCGAGGGCGTTGAGTGAGGAAGACCAAGTTCCCTGGAGCTTACGACAGACAAAGCTGTGATTTTTCTGGCCGAAGTAGCTCTCGTGCTTAGCACTCATCTGTGGGGAGGGTTGGTCTCAGCTTTTGCTTACGTCTGTCTGGGTTTGTGTGTGAATTCACTCCTCCATGGAAGCGTCTCCCCTGTGCCCCTAGAGACCCTAATCAAAGACTGTTTGTCATATCTCGCAGACTGGCGGCTAGTGGCAGGGTTGTGGCCCTTTGAAACCAAAAGTCTGCTGTTACCCTTTTAAGTGTGTGTCTGGGTGTTTGTCGCATGCTTTGGGATGGATGAGAATTGTCCAAAAAAGGGTGTGTGAAGTGCTTGCAGCAAACCGTAACCACACGGAGGGAAAACCACGTGACTGAGACTGAGAAGGAGTGGTCTCTTTCCCCGGATCCCAGGAAAATAAATTTGTTCACACATATGCACACGTGTACACACAATGTGTATATGTGCACACGTGCATGTAGTGACTTTTTAAGACATTTTATTTATTTGAAAGGTGGAGAGATAAGGACAGAGAGACTAAGATCTATTTGCTGGTTCACTCCCCAAATGGCCACACATCGTCCAGGTCTGGACCAGGCTGAAACCAGGAGCCAGGAACTCCCTCCGGGTCTCCCACGAGGGTGGGTACCTGGACCGTCACCTGCTGCTTTCCCAGGCGCATTAGCACGGAGCTGCATCAGAAGATTCACCCCAGAGCTGATGTGGGGTGGTGGCATCACCAGTGACTGTTAACTCACCGCACACAGCACGCGCCCGGTGGCTTTATCTTTAGGCTTCTGATGGCTTGGTCATGACGCTTAGGAGGAGCATCAGGACAGCCCAGATGCAAGGGGTCCTCTAAATTGAAGGCTGCCTTTAAAAGCTACTGGATGGGGCCGGCACTGTGGCACAGCAGGTTATAAAGCCTTGGCCTGCAGTGCCAGCATCCCATATGGGCGCCAGTTCAAGACCCGGCTGCTCTACTTCCTATCCAGCTCTCCGCTATGGCCTGGGAAAGCAGTAGAAGATGGCCCAAGTCCTTGGGCCCCTGCACCCACGTGGGAGACCTGGAAGAAGCTCCTGGCTCCTGGCTTCGGATTGGCACAGCTCCGGCCATTGTGGCCAACTGGGGAGTGAACCATTGGATGGAAGACCTCGCTGTCTGTCTCTACCTCTCTCTGTAACTCTGTCTTTCAAATAAATAAAATAAATCTTTTTTTTTTTTAAGCTACTGTAGTAATCCAAGTTACTGAAATATACTCTGCATTTTGCATCGATTTCTGGGGAGTTTTGAGAGCAGTGCTGTAGTGAAAGGAAACCAAAGCTGCACCTTCCAGGTCGTGTGATTTAAAGGGCCAGTCCTCCTGACCCCCTCTGCCCTGCGTTGCCTCCGGGAGGTGGGGATACTCAGATTCTCGCTGGTCAGCCTGCATCGCTATTGCATGAGGCGGTGTCCACACAGAACAATGTCGCTGATGCCTCAGACAGAAGAGAGAGATGCAGAAGAGAGGGACTGTCCGCCGGCAGGAGGGATTGACTGGAGACGCTGCTGTCGGGCAGACCCCGTTCCCAGGCTGGGCCGGGTTCTTCCTCGGCCATCAGTGAGTCTCCCAAGATCTTGAAGTCTCTGACCCAGGGCTGTGACACTGGAATCAACCCGACTGACAGAAAGGGATGTGGGAAGGTGGCAGGTGCTCGGCACACTGGTTAAGGTGCCTCTGAGGGTGCCTGCACCCCGTATCGAGTGCCTGCATGCAATCCCAGCTGTGTTAAGGATCCACCTTCCGGTTAACGTGTCCTGGGAGCAGCAGGTGTGGCTCAAGGACCTGGCTCCCTGCCACCCACATAGGAGACCCAGATGGAGCTCCTGGCTCCCTGCTTTGTCTTGGCCCAGCCCTGGTTGTTGCAGGCATTTAGGGAGTGAACCAGCAGACTGGAGATCTGTCTGTCTCTGTCTCTCTCTCTACCTTTCAAATAGAATGAAAATAAATAATAAAAATTAAAATGGATTGCTGTGAGGGTGAAATAAAACCAGACCCATACAGCCCTCAGCACTGTGTCTGGCCCCATGAAAGGTGTCTTCCCACTTTGCCGTATTGCAGGGCTCTGGGTGGGTGAGCCCCTGTCTCAGGACCTTGGGTCCAGCACCACTCATGGGCCGGGGCGTGGCCATTTCCGAGGTTGGCCTTCAGTGCCTGGGAGCGCGCAGGAAAAGAATGGAGTTGGGTTGTCAGGGAAGTCGCTCTCAGCCCCACACACCCACAGCTCTGCTCCAAAACCCACTGAAAGGGCGTGGTGTCACAGAAAGGCTGTGCTGTCATTGTGCGGGACCCTCCAGGCAGTTTGTGCGCGGTGACCAGAGGCTGTTAATTTGATGTTATTTCAACAGTGGGTAGTTCGGAGGGCTTTTTTTTTTAAGATTTATTTATTTGTTTGAAAGGCACAGAGGGGGAGAAGGAAAGGAAGAGAGAGAGAGAGAGAGAGGGAGGGAGGGAGGGAGGGAGAGGTCTTCCATCCACTGGTTCACTCCCGAGATGGCTGCAATGGCCGGAGCTGAGCCAGTCAGGAGCCAGGAGCCAGGTGTCTCTTCTGGGTCTCCCATGCGGGTGCAGGGGCCCAAGGACTTGGGCCATCTTTTACTACTATAGCAGAGAGCTGATCAGAAGTGGAGCAGCTGGGACACGAACCAGCACTCATATGGGATGCTCTCGCACTGCAGGCAGCGGCCTTACCCGCTATGCCCTAGCGCTGGCCCCCAGAGGGCTTTATGGGCTGGGCAGGACTGAGGGGATCGGTGCCTCCTACCCCATGGTTTGCTCCCTTCCTTCCTGTGCTCCCGCTCTTGGGGGAGCGAGCATCTGTTTACATGTGTGTTTGTTTTGTGGTCCCTGTTTACTGTTTTTGTGCCAGTGATAGAACATTTAAATGCTGTGTCCAGTGTTTTGTAATATATCAAAGACGTTTTCTTTGAGAACACAGACTAAGGATGCCATGACATTCATAAAACAAATCGGCCAACTCATACTTGCCCATACCCTAGAGCTGGGCTTATAGGTGATTTGCAGATTTTCACTAAACATGAATGAACACATTCGTGCAATGAACACATTCATGCATTTAACTTGAATTTGTTTTGAAAGCCCAAGTATATGCTCTCAGAAATTCAATTACTGATCCAAACTATCTGTGTTAACTTTAGACATGACTGCCGTGAGAGGTGACCCATCCCTCTTGCTGCTGGCACTAAATCATAGTCCCAATTTCAGCACCAACTCACCGGAACTACGAGTTGTAATTTAAAATGCTTTTTCTAGGCAGGAAAACTCATCTGACTTTCTGAATTTTGTATGACTCAGGCCCAAAGAAAGACTTTGTGAAAAATTGCTACTAAAGCATCAGGCAAAGTGGGAAATGTATTTATATAGATAACTGTCAACTAGCCCGGAAAACGAAGATCAAAAGCCCTCAAGACAGTCTGTCGTCTGTCATTTCTGAAAGCAGCTTGGGTGAAAATAAGGTAAAGGCAGTTGGAACAGAGATGAGTGGGAGCTCAGCTGCTGGAGTGCGCCTCCTCTTCCTCACATCCCTGTGGTCCTCCTGACGCCCACTTCCCAAGGAAGTGCCCCGTTCTCTCCTGCTGCAGGGACACAGCTGTGCTGGCAAATGGCATGGAGCTCATGCCAGCTCTAGAATGCTCCCCTCCCTTCTGAACACCGTACCCCTTGGGGCCTTCAAACCCTGCCCAGTATTGGGGAACCCAAATTGCTGGAGTTAAAACAATGCCAGGCACCTTGAGTTCCCTCTCGTAAGCTGTGGCGGCATCACCGGCATCACACATGCCTTGCACACTCAGGTGCACGCCGCACTCCGTCTGCGTCTAAGCATGGGCAGCCGTTGAAGGTTTTGGTTCGGGGCCATCGGCTGCTCATCCACACACCACGGCAGGAAGTGAGAAGTCATAGGAAACGCCTCTTGTGTGTTCATCTCTTCCCAGGAATTTTCTTTTCTGTGGGAGTATCTAAACGCCGTGGTCTTTCTCGTGGCCCAGCCCTGCCTCTGTGGGTCTTTCTCGTGGCCCAGCCCTGCCTCCAGGTGCTGGACCAGGATTGCTCTTTGCAAACCCTGAGCTTCCTGCCCCTGTCTCCTCTGCAGGTCACCTTGCCAGCTGGCTCTCTGGACGCCGTGCACCATCCTGGCCTTTGCCCACTTTCTTGGCCTCCCTGACCGAAGGTTGGGAAGCCGCGGGGTCCCCCCTTGAGCCATCTACTGCCGTCTGGCTCAGTCAGTCGCTCAGGCCAGGCCTGTCCGGGAGCGCAGCGTTTGCCTCCCACAGTGCCCCATTGTTTGGAGCTCTTGGTTCAACTCATCCTCTTGCCATCCAGTTTTCCGTAGGCGTGGGGCACGGCCCCTTGTGGGGGTGCCTGCAAGTGCGTCCTGGGTGAGCACTCCTACGGTTTGCTGACTCCGCCCCTCTCCATCCCAGGGCTTCCGGGGTGAGGATGGCTGCTGCTGTTAACTAACCCAGTGATCCAACCTAGTCGCGTCCCCAAGGGCTTCGGCTTCATAGCAGGTGTGCAAACCTAAAGCAGCGGGGCGATGACGTCAGGGGTCTGGTTTGGCAAAGCGTCTGTGTTTTGAGCACGAGGCAGCGCGTTGTTTCAAAGATTGCCCAGAGCCGTTCCTACGCTGCCTGCGCGCATGGTACTCTCTCCGCAGGAGCGGCCGAGGCAGCCGCTGGGTTCCGAGCAAACTCCTGCCACTTGGCTCAGGATTAAACTACACCAGGCCGTTCTTGGAGCTTCAAAGGCGTGTGTTACACATTGGCTTTTTGAGAGCTGTC